TAACAACTACATGATTCACTTAACAACTGCTGTGATTCACTTAACAAGAATGCAAAAAGATTGCAAAGGCAGGTGCAACTCAACAACTTGTTTAGCAACGGAAATTCTGGCCCTGATTATGGTTATAAGTCAAGGGCTACATTTATTTATGACCTATCCTTGAAGTTAGGATTTCCACCACCACCTCCACAGTCACGTGATCAGTTTCAGGTGCTTGGCAACTGGTTCACATTCACAACTAGTTGCAGTGCTCTATGATGATGTGGACCAGGATTTGCAATGTTTTTTGCCTGTTTTGCAAAAAATGCCCATTTGGAAGAATTAAGTTGCTTAATTCCACACGGCCCACTTAACAGCCATGTAATTTGCTTCATGACTGCAATGACTTGATTTATGACCACCGTAAGAACAGTCATAAGATCGAGTCAGGCCATGTGGTGAATCATTTAACCATGACAACTTATGACTAAAAATCCAGGCTGAATTGTGCTTCTTAAGCGAGGCTACAGCTCTTAGCAATAGCAATAGCATTTAGACTTATATGCCGCTTCACAATGCTTTTACAGCCCTCTCTAAGAGGTTTACAGAGTCAGCGTATTGCCTCCAACAATCTGGGTCCTGATTTTACCGACCTCGGAAGGATGGAAGGCTGAGTCAACCTTGAGCCAGTGAGACTCGAACTGCTGGCAGCTGGCAGTCAGCAGACATAGCCTGTAGTACTGCATTCTAACCACTGTGCCACCACAGCTCGTAAGAAGAGTCAAACGTCTTACCTTCCTGTCCTTTTGTGATCTTTCCTATAGGACTTTTCTGTAGATGGTGATCGTCGACTATCCCGGTGTCTGTGCCTTTCCCTTTGATGTTCCCTTTAAGAATATTTAAAAAAAAAAAAAAAACCACAATTCTCAGTATAGAAATATTCAGTTCCCAAAATACATGGGGAGAACCAGAAGCAAATAGATTATCGAACTAAAAGCTCCAGAGTGAAAGACATACCATTGCCTCTCTGCACGTCAGTTATGATTCCCCTTGGCACACTCTCAAGTTTCCAACCAGGGTTTGAAAACGAACCCGGACATACTATTTATGGAATCTCGGAAGGAGAAGGAATCACTGTTTTATTTTCAACTTTGCTATAACACAACGCAAAGATCAACAGCCTTTTCGTGTGATCTTGCATGAAGGTATGATTGCCTGTTCCACCCCCCCCCCAAAAAAATCACTCCAAACTTTGCAAAATGATTGCATTTCAACATATAGTGAAAATTTTATGTAAGGACCCCAAACTTTCTTGAGATTCAGGTACTTGATAACATTTCTCACATTTTTTAAAAAAAAAACCAATCATAATTTGGAGTAGGTAGCATGGATATCATTAAGAGTACTTCCAAATATGGCAGATAGGAAGAAGATAGACAGGCAGATAGGAAGAAGATAACCAATGGGTTCTACCCACCTATTTCTATTTATCTGTTGTTTTTATCTTGGTCTTTTAATTTTAGCAATGTGATACTGAAGAACAATCTTTAGCGGGAATTAGTAATCACTTTTTTTCTTGAAAACAGTAACAAAGGGAAAGCAGAAGAGAACACCTCAAAACAACTTGTTTACTATGGTAGAAGGGAAGTTAGACTTGATGAACAAAATGAATCTTACACAACCTGGAACTAAAAATAAAGCTTCCTTCCCCTTTGTTTACAAATGTTGTTAATCTGCGAGGGTAGAGCTGTAGCAACTATGAACTCTCCGTTCTCCAACTCAGACCTGGAGATGGAAGGAATAAACATGTGGAATCCCCATACTCAACAGACTCTCAAAATTTCTAACACAGAGATCAAGAAAGTTGGCATGTCTCTACCTCTCAAACAGGAAGAGGTGGAGACACGCACCTCTGGACTGAATATTCCCACCATCACTTATGAGCAAAAATGAAGAAAAGCTATCTCTTCTTTACTCCTCAGTTAGCTGGAAGAGGAACACTTACTTCATGGCTAACAGATTTCTCCTGCTTACTTCCAGCTCTGAATTTCTGGGGTAATCTACCTTTTAACAGTGGGGATCACAAAGAAGACAAAGTAAAGGAAAAAATAGTTGTTGAAGATGTCTATGGAGATTCTCAATCATCCAAAGTCATGGTTGTTCCAAAGGTGCTTTTCTCAAAAGGCAACTAGATTTTCTTGGTCTTTTCTTTGAAAATTCTCATTCAAGAATTCCTCACCCGTCAGTTAGGACAGAAGAAGCTTCTTGGATCAGAAGTGAAATGTTCTCAAAGAAAACACCCAAAAAGTCTTTTGGAAAAAAACACCTTTGAGATACCTATTGAAGATGCAACAGCGTAAGAGTTGCATCTAAATTTGGACAGAAGATGCTTACTTAGAAGTTATTCAACAATTGCAAAAGCGTTAGTGATTCTAACCCAGACAAAGAGGAAATTGCTATCAATGTATCGGTCCTATCGGTTGGTTGTAGCTTAGATATTTAACTAAAGGGGTTTATGTTTCCTTTCTTCTTTCTTTCTTATAGAACAAAGATTCTTCTTTTTTGTATATTTCACTTGTTCGCTCAAGTTAGGATTATATTCAGAGGTCTGTCTATAATGTCAAACAAGGATCGCTAACAAGTGCAAGCCTGTATCAACCCAGGAGTCTGTGGGGTTCAAGGAAGCACCAAACAGGAAGCCATTCTTCTATGAGCTACAAAAATCTGAACTAGTTTCCTCCACTAATAGAGCTGCCCTATGTCATTCTCAGTCCCAATAAAAAGCAAGACAGGAGAGCTGAGAATAGCACCACAGATAATCCAGATTACCTGTACCATTCATAACTTCGATGGCGGGGTGGGGTTCTTCCTCTGACATAATCTGATCTATGACGACTGCTTTCTGCCCGCCGGCGATCTGGGCTCCTCCCTCGATCCCGCCGGTCCCCATGATTAGTGGAGCGATGCCGATCCCCATGTCCGTGGCAGTGATCCCGATGGCGATGTTCGTCATAATATTTACTCCTCTCTGGAGACCTCCAGTCAGTCTGAGATTTTTCTACCAGGTATTCACTTGGATGCCGGAGGTTACTGCTGGTGTTACCACTGCTACTAGCGCTACCACTGTTGCTTTGGTAAGAGTTTGCGTTGTGTTGGTAGCTATTAAAGTTAGGAGGCGAAAAGGTCTGCTGGGAGTATCCTGGAGAATACACAGGCTGGTAATTCACTTGTTGAGGCATTACCGGTGGAGGCACGGGATGTGGTATGGACGGAGGTGGCATCATGTAAGGGAATGTGTTTTGTCCAGTTGCATTGGCTACAATGGGAGGGTTACCAGGGTTTGGGACAGGGGGAGGAGCTGGGGGAAAACAAGGAGGAAGTGGGAAAGTCTGCCTCATCTGAGGGCCTGAAAAAGGAGGCCGGGGCGGACATTGGGTGACTGAACTTTGAGCCGAAGGGGGGATTGGTGGGGGATACGGGACAAAATCTGGCCTAGGAGGGACATAGTTTGCAGCTGGAGTGTTCACATAGATAGAGGTGGTTGCAGTTGGCTGGTCATACTGATACTGCACTGAAGACTGCTGAGGGTGTAGCTGTCTCAAGTTTTGGGGACGAAAGGTTTGTGATGAAGCTCGAACAGTGGCTCCTCCTCGGCCCCGGGGGCATCCACGTCCAGAATGAAAAGACATTACCCAGCTAGAAAGAGAAGAAGAAGCAGGGGAAAACGATTTTGTCAGATTTCTTTCATTTGGAAGAGGAAATCTTAGCAGTCGGCTGTGAAAAGGAGGCCATGCTTGCAATATTTTAATAATGCCAGCTGATTTCACCACACGTTTGTTTGCTTAGTGTTAATAACCACTCAATGTTTTCGGCTGAAAAATTAAATTTAAAAAAAATTCCGTTGAAATTATATGTCTATCTCTCTGTGAAAATTTAAAAATGTTTAGATAGTATCATCTAAACTATTATTGACATGATATAAATTATTATTACTTCTAAATAGGTAAGTTTGTTTTGAAATTAGTAGCTGATTATAGCAGCATTGTTCATAACTTTTATTCACTGCATGTTTGAAGCTGCATATTTGCTACTCGCTTATAAACTTGGGTGCTTTATCCTTGGTCTACAAATCTACATATAATCTTTCAAATGGCACGTCTAGCATTTGCAATAATATCTTCCTGCAGGTTCTTGAGCAAAGACTCAACCACTATCAAATGTAAATATTAATTCATAAGGGAGTCTTTTACATTTTGCAATCCTTAAAAATATTAATTAGGAAATAAATCCTGCTTATCTTTTTGCAATTTGTTTCTGACAGACCGTGCTTAAGTCTGCACTCTAAATTGTGTACACTTATTAGTTTTAATGCAGAAAATGTCTTGTTCATCAACTGTTTAGTTTATGCATATCTTTTATTACCTTTTGCTAACTCTAGGATACTTTGACGGACAGTTCAAGCCTTAACGTTCAAGGAGATTATACATTTGATTGTAGTCTGTCTTACACTGGGCTTGCTCTTTAAAGAACTCCATCTTTTCAAAAGAAAAACAAAACACGTGCTTATTAGGTTCCTTGTTAACTTCGTGAGATTCTGATTTTAAATCGGGGAGGGGATAAGATAAGCAAGTTGAAAATTGAAAATTCCAAGTGTTAAGTATCAGTGAAGTTATTTCTCGCGCTATATTATTTCCAACATTGTGCATAGCTTTGAAATAAGGACAAAATAAGTGTATTCTCAAACATGAGACATCACATATTCCACCAGAACAAAGACAGAGAATAATCTAAATCCCACTTAACGTCGTAGAATCATTACCTCCTCCCCTCATTAAGAATACCGTGCAACTTTGTTTTTACCTGGAAATATTGCTTTTGACATTCCACAACGCAGAGCGTAGGTACCGGCAAAGACAGAGAAAATTTGCGGATAAAACCCTTACACCGGAAGAAAACACTTGGAAGGAGGAGCATGCATGATATCAAAACGGAAGCTCAGGGGGAAAATGTTCCTTTTTCTAGCAAAGGAGAAAAGAGCCAGCGAAACTTATGATTAATGAGTTGACATGACACTACAATATTTTGAAGATTCCTGGCAGCCAAGATTCCTTGTCCTAAAAATGGAATAATCATTGCTCCCCTTCTCCTTTCCGTTCCCAGCATGCCTATTTGTGTCACGTTTAGACGTGTCCCCCGTTCTCTTTGGAACACGATCTGGGCTAGAATTCCGGCCTTAGAACGTAGCGTTCCCCAGCATTCGATGCCTTCCTGCACTGAAGATCTTTGCGTTCTATTTTAGAATCTTCGATGTCCCGAACATTCTGTGACCTATAAGCTGATCAAAATGAGTAGCGGCGCCGGCGGCGACAGCGGCCGAGGGAAGGAGCAGAGTGTGGGACACGAGAGTAACGCGGGCAGCTCCCTCCGCACGTACCCGAAGTTGCCAGTTTGGGTGGTGGAAGATCATCATGATGTAAGTTAAATGCCGATCACCAAATGGTTTCATTGCAATTTGCTAATGCTCGGCGCTGTGAACTTGGGGAGCAGCTCCAAAGAATTCGTGGACTGATTCTTATTGAGTATAGGCAGTTAAAGTTGGAAACCTAAGACTTTGTGACCACTTGCACTTTATCATACACAAAGATGCTTGGATCACAAATCTTCTCTCTTAGCCCCACATGGTTGTCCACAGCCCAAGAATAAAAAAGTAACAATTTTAAAATATTTTTCTCTTTATGCTGAAATTGCTACATTTTGTTAACTAATAATCTTGGAAACCAGGTCAGCTGATCTGTTATGGATGTAAACAGAGGTGTGTTAGGGGAATATATAATCACTTTCCACTTTAAAAGTATTTATAAAGCAATCAGGCTTCTACTAGGAAAGTCTGCTTTTCCCTGTGCAGTTCACTTTTAGCAGCAATCTGGAATATTGAGATTTTCTTTTAATCTAGTTGGAATTGAAGAGAGAAGCCCTTGCATTTTTCTGCTTTCACATTGTTCTGAAACAGTTTTAATTTACAGGCAGCAGTTCCATTTTTCTTCCCTGCAGTCTCTCATGACTATAGGTAATTTTTAGGCCCTCTTTATTTCATGTATAGCACTTGAACTCAATAAGAGCCTGAGTATCTTTTAGTCAACTCGGAATACTTGGTACTGAGACTTAGGACTGTAGTATTAGTTAAGAGTGAATTTTATTGATCTTGGGGTTTTTAATAGGGCATAAGAATTTTGCTGCAAAGGTTATTGGGACAAAGCCAATTATTTCCAGCCACCCCTGCTTTCTAGCAACAGCCCCTCTTTCTGATGACATTCCCTGCAAACTTTGATGAATTATAAAGTTTATCCACTGTTTTTCTTGCACCCACAACATTTGCACTGGTGTCATTCCAGGTTCTTCCCTTCATTTACCGAGCTATTGGCTCAAAACATCTTCCTGTTAGCAACATCAGCTTTGTTCATTTGGACTCCCACCCAGATCTCCTTATTCCAGTGGACATGCCTGCAGATACTGTGTTCGACAAAGAAGCTCTGTTTAGGTATGATGGTGCAGGCGTGTTGACTGGGTAGAATTTTAGCTTAAGTGAACATAGAATGATTAGCTGTTGGGGAAGTTGTTTTCTGTGTCTTGTTCCTGGAATGCCCTGAAGTTACATAGACATATGACAAAAAAACTATTCAACTCACATTACTCAATCAAATAAGTAATTTTGTGCATGTCTTTTACCTAAATGGCCAGACGGGGGCATCTGAAGCTCACGCTAAGAGTTCTACTCACCTAAGACTTTGTATAGAACTAGCCATCCTGGCCTTTATTTCTGAGAAATCAGTTCTGTTGCTTATGTAGAACAACATGATGAAGTTTGTACATCATTTAAGAAGCAAGCCCCCAAATTAAATGGGGTAGACCACAGAATGCCGACTGATAAGGTGGTCTTGGAACCTAACAACTGACGAACAAACAGGAGCATTGAACACTGCAATGCTTTTGCTACAGCTCCTGTAATTTTATCTGCTAAGTACATCGGAATGCTCAGAGAACTGTGAGGTTTGCAAAATTATAAAAATGCTTTATATTCTGCAGAAGTTGAACAGCAAACAGTTTGCATATTAGCATACAATACATGCAGTCTGTCTATACATATATAGAACGCTGAATAGGGACGTTCAGAATGCAACATTTTATAGCAGGATCCCGTTGCTACATATTCCATAACTCAGTTCAGTTTTCCATCGTACCTATCAGTGCCATTTGAAAGGGTAAAACCTCCATCTTCATGCACGGTGAGTAAAGCCAATTTATATTTGCCACAATGTTCTCTGTTCATGTGCAGTTTGGTAGGTCTGATAGGGTGCCAGATTCCACTTCCAGATCACGTGTGTATTGAAAAAAGTTTACAGTAGGCTATACTGTGAAGTTACTGGGTAAATAATACAGTTTCTTCAGTGAACCTTAATTCTAGACTGCCAACCTTTCATCTGCATGCTGTAGGACAATAAAATCTCTTCATGTACTTGACATTCTTATCGCTATCTGCACTATTCTAGGCATCTACACAAGGATTTATTATCTCAATAGGATGTTAAATCTAAAATTTAAATAAATACCAAATAGCTCAGCGTTGTATGTGGGAAATTTACTTGAAAAAAATCAATGGAAACAAAATCAAACCTATGGCAATATCTCACAATATAGTGAATCTTAATTTCCTGGATTCAGAACATAGGATCTTCTTGGCTATACATATTTGTACGTGTTTTATAATTTATTTATCTATTAGAGGGAAAAACCCAATAAAGTTGATAATTTATTGGAGGTACCAAATGGTTTCTACAGGCTAAGGCTATAAATAACGATTTTGCTATTGCCTTCTTCCTGTTATATATTTATATACTATTATGTGTCGTAAATCATGCCGATCATTAAGCAAGGTTAGAACTAAGGTTAAAACTCAAATCTAGGTCATAAGTACTTTTTGGGGATTTGTTGTAACTTTGAATAGTCACTAAAAGATCTTTCATGAGTTAAAGACTACCTTTGTACTGTTTCACATTTTTAAAAGATATCTTAAAACACTATACTTCTGACCCTGATTTTGTATCTAACAAAAGCATTCTAATATTTCTTAGGAGGGTTTATTTTTGTATGGGCCAGTATGTTGCCAATACTGTTTTTTTTTTTTAAAATTATGTCGTCTGTACCCAAGTTTCTCAGACATTTCAGCCCATATTTACCTCATGTTCTTTTACAGTGAACTAAGCATTGAAAACTGGATTATACCTGCTGTTTATGCAGGTCATTTTTCACAAGTAATATGGCTACATCCAGATTGGGCTCAGCAAATAGAGGAAGGAACTCATCATTTTTTGGTGGGCAAAGATACCTCTACTACTACAATAAGGTAACTTAGGGATTATGTTTCTTGCAGCATTCGAAGAGTTTATTTTTGGATGTGTGTTTATCTGAGTTAGTATAGGTTTTTTTATTATTTATTAAATTTATACGCCACCCAACTCTTTCACATAAGAGTTCCTAATAAACTTCAGAATGTGTACATGGGTTATTCAGTGTTCTACTAAAACCCAGAGTCAGGATTATAGCGATTGCAATCTAAAACATTCTTTATCCATCCACAGCTTATTATATTGTGCTATCCTAGCCTGTTTCTCCTGTGCTGTTTTTATTCTTTCCAGTCCTGTGGAATATTAAAAAGAAATTCTGTAAAGTGGACAGCAGGATAACTATGTGAATGAGAGCAAGTTTGATGTGGCAGGATAAGTTGGCGAAAGAAAGATTAAGTTCAAAAGTCAACCATATTTGGCCAAGAGATGCAGATAAAAATATTTCCAAAATAACCTTCCAAAGCATTTCTATGGAAGAAGCATTTGAACACTGATTCCAAACATTTCTGATTTTTCCATTCTAAACTTCCTCTCCGTCTTCCTCCTGATCACGTGACTTAGAGCAGCAGTCACCAACCTTTCTGGCTTTGCCGACCGGCGGGTGGGGAAGAGGGGATGGTTCCAGGCTATGCAAATAGTGTACGTGCAAGCTCGCATGCACATCTCCATTTGCACAAATGGCAGACATGCACGCCGCTCGCCCAAACCGAGCTTCATGCACAAGCACCCACTGCTCATCCACCGCTTGAACAGCCCAGTTCCGAACAGGCCTTATGCTTCTAGGTGTGTGTGTGTGTGTGTGTGTGTGTGTGTGTGTAGGAAGAGCAGACACATACACAGAAGTAAGACCTATGCACCACTCTGAATAAACTTTCGCAAACCTATATGGACAATATATATATATGCTTAGATACTATTTTGTTGTTGTTGTTCTGTCTCTAAGTAGAGTAGACTCTTTGTGGCTCCATGAAAAAAACAACACATTCATATTTAACACGTCACTTCTTTATGGGGAAGAAAATAAAGAGATTTCATATGAATATGGCTAGTAAGAGAGTTAGAATTTCAGGACGTCACAACTTATTGCTATAATGGGCAGGCTCCATTATGGCCAGAATTCCAGGACTATCTGTATAGCATTCTTAAGAAAGCTTTTTAAAAATACAGCTTCTGAGAGCCATGGGGATGTGGTAACAATACACTAATTGTGAGTAGGACCAAACTTTTCTTCTTGTTTTGAGGGTGGTTTTCTTTTAAAAGGAAAATGTTATAGCAGTCTTACAAAGACTTAGCCCATCAGTTTCATGCTTTATGCAATTTTATGCTTTATGTTTTTTTTGGGGGGGGGGAAGTGCATAATAATTTTGCTTGTGGGAGGAGCTAATTGTTACGGAGGGCTGTCTGGCCATGAGTCGCTCATTCCTTTTTTTATATATTGATGGCAATAAGCTAACAATAACAATAAGCATTTATTATTCTAGGGTTACAAGCACAGATGCTTACTTCCTTTCTGATGGTCTCTATGTCCCCGCTGATCAACTGGAGAACCAAAAATCTTTACATCTGAGTGTGTGCCTTGTGAATCCCTCCAAAGCTTCTGGTGACTGGGAAGGCAACCAAGCTCCAGGTTCCGCTAAGAAGTGCAAATTAAGTGTGGATGATGCAGGTGATGCCTCTTCATCAAAAGACTCTGCCGACACAACCCACAGTTGCACAGGTGGACTGTCTGGTGGCTTTGAAAAGAGTATCTCTGGGCATGAGAAGCCAAGCAATTTCCACGTTCCCTCTGCCTCTGGTTCCACAGGAAAACACCAGTCTCAAATGATAGAACTTGTCCAAGACATTCTCCAAGTTCTTCAGAAGGGCACTGCTTATGTTTTAGATATTGACTTGGACTTCTTTTCAGTTAAGAATCCTTTCAAAGAAATATACACACAGGTAACTATCCAGTTGCAACACCCATCTTGCTCATCCGTTCTTTTTTAAAGAAGGCCAATTTCAAAAGATATTTTTTCCCTCCCTTCTTAGTGTGACATTTAGTTCAGAATCTTTTCTACTGCTTTTCCTACTCAACATTTCCTATTTGCCCAAAGCTGTCTAAAATGCAGTGTTAAAGCAAAACTTCAAAACAAGAAGCAGTGAAAGAACTGAAAAAAACAATACAATACACTAATACAATAAAACTCAGTTAAAATAGCAGAATGGGGAAAAAATCTAGCAAAAAAAAAAAAAAACTTCTTTCAAATACTTTCCCAACAGCTCAGGCATTTTTCTCTATGGTGAGTTTACTGGCATATATATAAAATTCAAACCAGAAATGTTCCAAAAATGGATATATTTTATCAATCAAGTGCTTTTTTTAAATAAATTACACGACTATCTTTACACCTTAGGACTAAAATTTGCCACAAGACTGTTGCAGTATGAAAGCTCTTAGGATACCAGTCTTCTAGGCTTATTTCATTCCTTACTACTACTCCCAAGAGTCAGTGTGTATCCACCAACTATCCTTGGTCCTTTTACAGTGGTTTCTAGCTATTCCTTTCTACTTTGAAGGGATTTCCCTTTTTTTTGCTGTTGTTGTCTTTTGACTGAAGTTGACTCAAGCCTCTTGACATCTCTCGCAGTTATACAGTAGTGATAAACAGCACTCAAAGACTTCAACTTGTTATTTGAAGTTAGTGTATAACAACCCTACAATCTGGAACCCTAACATAGCTCCTCTGAGTACTGGGAGTATGTGAAATTCTTTGTCCTCAAAATCTATTGTAGAAAATCTGAACTGCTTTCAGAAAACATGACTGTTGCTGGTGTGTTTGTTATAAACTTTCTTTGCTGTTCTGAATATTAGAAATTTGATTGCCTCTAGGAGGTGTAGGCTGAATGTCTACCAAACCACCAGCAACAGTAACCAGGACCATGGTTCCAGCATTGATTCTTCTTATATAATGTCATAAAAGTCTTAAGTGTTATTGCAATTGGTATCAGAAATCATGTTTGATGGATTGTGAGAAAAAAAAAGAGGCACTGATTTGGGCTCAACCAAAAGCCTAGATTATTCCAGATTATTGCTGTTTACCTGAGTACAAAAGTATTTTAGTAGTGCTGTGCAATTGCTCATTTGAATGTCTGTCTGATCTTTGCACTGAATTGCCTGCTGCTTCCCACACTGCCCTGTGCCTCCTCCCTTAATGTGCAGCAGTAATGATTCCTCATCCAGTAGTCCAGATATAAGTGACAGGTAGATAATAATCCTTGAATTCAGTTGCCTCTGCCTGGGTCACTGATGTACATATAAGGTTATACTGTATGAACTGAGAAACCAGTGTAACACTGGCATTAGAAAAGGATTAATAGCAATAGCATTTAGACTTATATACCACTTCATAATGCTATACAGCCCCCTCTAAGTGATTAACTGAGTCAGCATATTGCTCCCAACAATCTGAGTCCTCATTTTACCAACCTTGGAAGGACGGAAGGGTGAGTCCTTGAGCCGGTCAGGATCGAACTTCTGGCAGTCGGCAGAGTTAACCTGCAGTACTGCATTCTAACCACTGCGCTACCACAACTCATTAAATCAGCTTTATGGGGAGGAATTTACCTCTATGGCTTATGATTTCAGTAGATTGTTTATTAAAGATACTTCCTGTAATTAGGTTAGCAGTATTCCCATTAAATAGGAGATAGCTGTAGTGTAATTCAGGATGCTGGTTATCATGACTTGAGACCTGATTAGGGAACAACTAAATATCTTCCTGCCCAAGATTCTTGTAGAGCAGGGGTGTCAAACTGGCAGCCCATGGGCCAGATGTGTCACACATGCCACTCCCACCCCAGCTCCACAAAAGCAAAAAAGTCACAGTACATCACAATACATCACGTGACGCGGTCGAGTTCTTGCTACCCACAAGGATAGGATACTCAGAGGCAAGCATTTCCAACAGAATCTCTCCTCCCACCAGATATAAGGATGGTGGGTAGATTATTCAATTGTTGCAATGCACTGTTGTGCTGTTTGCTATGTGATTTTAGTGGCATTGTTCAAAGATACTGCTATATGCTGCTTAGAGTCATATGACTGAAGCAGCTTAAAAGCATTCAAAATAAAAATCTGGATTCAGCTGGATAAAGCAAATTTTAAAATGTAATAAGGGAATTCTATGTGGAAAAGTTTAAGTCTCTGTATATGGAAAAATCCAGAATAACTGTGATCTTGTACAGTTTGGTTTTGACACAGAAAATAGAGAAAATGTCTAATAAAAACAAAGTATATATTTGACGATGCAGTTTTCTTTTTTTGCAGGGAGTAGGGGCAATTTCCTATGAACTATGTTTACGGCTATAAATACTGTTTTTATTAATGGCATATAACTGCAATATGCTATGAATAACCTTTTTCATTTATTTATTTATTTATACAGGAAGAATACAAACTCTTACAAGAACTGTACAGTTTTAAGAAGCCTAAAAGCAATTTATCAGAGGTAGGATGCTAGTAATTCGCAATAGAGAATGGCGGCGGGGGGGGGGGGTTGTCAAAATGTCTTATCTCAAGAAGAATATAAGATGTTTGAAAGAGAAGTGATCAGAATGGGGATAATGGACAAAGAAGAGATGCCTTCTTGTTAGTGCTGTCAATAAGATTCTCAAAATGTACTCTGGAACATGACTAGAACCCATCTCCACTTCCTTAAAGCAGCCGGTAATCCCAGGACATCACTATTTTAAAAAATGGCCGCTAATACTATATTCACCTCAAAGTAGATTTTGGGGAGTTGATTCAGAAGGATTTTGGAGCGGCGTGGTGGCCTAGAGGTGAAGACACTCACCTCCCACTCGGAAGGTTGAGAGTTCAATTCTAGGCAGCGGCAGATGTTTCTCTATCCAGGGTGCAAAGAGAATATCTGCTGAGAACTCTGCGTAGGCGTCAGGAAAGATATCCAGCCAGTAAATGCTCAGTTCCACATCAAAACAAAGGGATTAAAGGGTTGGAAAAAGAAAAAAAATGAGAAGGATTATGCAGTGCCTATATCTACAACACCAAAAATATAACCACATTTCCTCAGCTGCATAGCTGGCCTTCTGGCTTCATACAATTGCTTAGTTCTTCCTATTTTTATATTTGAAGGACGAGTTGGTTGACTGCGTAGAGAATCGCACACACCAGCTAGAAGACCTAGAAGCAGCTTTTGCTGATTTATGCGATGATGACACTGAAGAAAACCTGAAAAGATGGGCTGCAAATCCTGGGTATTGTAATTGAACCATGTTCTTGACACCGAGGCTACCATGAACTAGACTTTTAAGGAGATGATACTGGGAGATATACAGACACTGAAAGGCATTATTACCTTTCTGGGAACTCAGGTTATTTTGGGAGGGAGAACAACTTCACACTTGATGAATTCTTGCTAGAATTTTTTATAACTCCATACAAGACATACTTTTTTCATATCATACCATCATGCATCAAACTTTGCTTATACCACAATGAATCTTTCAAAATATTGGTTATTTCCATATTTGAAGTGCAATATTAGGGGCAGTGCAATGGTGAATAGAATGTAAAGGATATGTGTATATAAGGTATGTTTTTATTTGTGGTTTTTATTTGTGTGTAGTGTGCACTGTGGACAGCACTTAATTTCATTTAATTTGACAATAAAGATTATTCTGTTCTATTCTATTCTATTTTATTCTATTCTATTCTATTCTATTCTATTCTATCTCTGCTCCTTCTTTCAGCCAGACTTAGTGCCATGTAAGTTTCCAAATAGTTCTCACAGTAACAAGGTATGAATAATGAAAGAGAGAAATTAAGTACACACAGATAAGTCTGTCAAATGTTACAGCCTGTTCAAAGAATCTTTGAGGCGGAAAATATTTACCTGAGTTTTTAAAAGCCAGTAATTACCAGACTATTATAAGCTGTTAGAAATAGGATAGATATTACCACCAACACCAAAACCCACACTTCCTCAAAAAATGCATTTCTTTTTAGTAGAATATATATATATATATATATATATATATATATATATATATATATATATATATTCTACAATTTATCCATATTTATGAATAAATTAGACCTAGCTATAATGTCCCAGCAACTTAACTTTGTATTATATGATACCTTAAGAGAATAGTGCTTCATCCTGATGCTAAGTTCTATTTTTTTTTCCTGGAAGAATTCTGCAGTTGTCATTTTAATGTTGTCAAACTTTGAAAATAGAAAGTTTTACAATTTGTAGAATGAAGTGTTACATATCATAGTTTCTCCAGCTTGTTTGGAGTGTGCCTAGAATGTTTGCTCTTTATATTAATTGCACAATTTGTATTTTAATTCATTGTAGAATGAAACCTCTAGTTCCACTTGTGCATAATTTGAAAGATCGAATGGGAACTCCAGATTATGAGATGGTAAAGCTATTCATTTTTTATTATTTCTATTGTCATGTAGATATTGACCCTCAGATATTGGTTGCATTATATAACCTGTGCTTATCATAACAAGATTAACTTCCCTCTTCCCTTGAATTCATCCAGTTGTAAGATTAGAAGCAGTCAACCATAAATCAACCATAATTTAATGTTGCTCTTAAAATTTGCAATTTTGAAACAATTTGTTTCAAAGAACTAAGTTCATAAACCAAGGTCTAAAGTTGGGTTGATTTTGGCAAGTACTTATTTCTCAAGCAAAACATTTTTACAGCAAGCACAGTAAGGATTTGTTCAGGACTGCTTTTGGTTTTGTTTTATCTTTCTATTTCTGTTATTTTTTCTGTTTACCTTTTTTATTATTGCAGGTAGAACTCGACTTATGGCCACAATTGAGCCCAACATTTGTGTTAAGTGAATCTGGCCTTCCCATTGACTTTTGCTTGTCAAAAGGTTGTAAAAGTTGATCACATGACCCTGGAAAACTGCAACCGTCATAAATATGAATTTATTGCCAACTGTCTGAATTTTGATCACTTGACCGTGGGATGTTGCAACGATCATAAGTCTGACAAATGGTTATAGGTCACTTTTTCCAGTAGTGTTGTAACTTCAAACAGTCATTAAATAAACTGTTGTAAGTTGAAGACTTCTTGTATTGCTCTGTCTTGTCAGAACACAAGACACTATACATTTTGTGTGTTTTATTTGACTCAAACCAAAAAATTTTGGAACATTCCAATGTGTCATTCGAAGCAGAACTATTTGTTCTGAAGTTTCAGTTCTGAAAACTGAAGTTATGTACCAGCCAGCTTCAAAAGCCCAATATCAAGAGCCTACCATCACAGTAAAGGAACAAAAGCTGCAAGCAGTGGACCAATTTACGTATCTTGGTAGTACCCTCTCCCGTGCAGTGACAATTGACATCGAGGTCAACTGTAGAATTGCCAAGGCAAGTTCTGCATTTGGCAGATTGCAGACTAACGTGTGGGACCGCTGTGGAATAAGTCTTGCTACCAAGCTTAAAGTTTACCAGGTAGTAGTGCTAACTACCCTATTGTATGCTAGTGAGACATGGGCAGTGTACAGGAAGCATGTTAGGCAACTGAACTACTTCCACATGAGTTGCCTTCGTAGAATTCTGAGGATCCGGTGGCAGGATAAGATACCAGACACAGATGTCCTCTCCAGAGCAAGCCTATCATCAGTGTACACTCTGTTGATGAAAGCCCAGATGCGCTGGGCAGGCCATGTTGTAAGGATGCCAGATCATTGCATCCCTAAACAGCTTTTCTATGTTGAGCTGTCTCAAGGAAAGCGATCGCACGGGGGACAAAAGAAGCGATACAAAGACACATTGAAAGCCTCTCTTAAGTCCCTGGATATTAACACCATCTCTTGGGAACTTCTGGCGCATGATCGACCGACATGGCGTACCTTGGTGTACCAGGGTTGCCAGATATATGAACACAGAAGGACAATCTTGGCACAAGAAAAGGAGCACTCCGCAAAGCCAGAGCTGCAAATACTGAAGTAACAATGTCTACATTTCTTTGTTCAGTATGTGGCAGAACATTCCGTGCTAACATCGGTCTTATTAGCCACCTACGGACACATTATTGATGGCCCATAATGCACAAGATGTCAAGGTCTTCATCGAAATCGATGGATGAACAACCATTTGTTCTGAGATCTGAAGGTTGAAAGGAGGAATGTAAGGGGAAATGTCCAGGTTCTGTTCCATTAAAGTACAATATAAACACGGCTCATTGTAACATTAAATATATCTAACTTACATGATTTTAGACTTTATATTGAAATACGTCACGTATTCTTGACCAAATTAGCATTCTTCAGTTGTGTCCAAATTGGCACTCTGCAGATGTGACATCAACATTTCTAATCATCCTGGCTGGAGATCCTTGAGAAGTCAGATCTTACTCACAAGAGAAAGTCAGGGAGGAAAAGATGGATTTAATATCATCTGAAGATGTAATCAGAAAAGTGTTTAACATCTTTTCTCTTATCACCTATACTGAGTTTGCTTTTTAATTTGCTTGGAGAGGGAGTTCTTGAGCAATGCACTAATAAACAAATGTATGTCATTTATTTCTCAGGTTCATCAGGCTGGCCTTACATGTGATTACTCAGAAATACCTCATCATGTTAGCACCGAAGAAGAGATAGAGAGTTTTGTACAGTCGATACAACATCTCTTGGGAAACTTACCGAAACCAACACTTGTGACCATAGCCCGGTAAGTTTAATATTTTTAAATATAATTTTTATTAAAATCTTTAAAAAAGGAGGTTAAAAAAACTAAGACAAACTATCGTGTTTTCCTGAAAGTAAGTCCTCCCCTGAAAATAAGCCCCAGCTTGATTTTCGGGGGTGGGCCTAATATAAACCCTCCCCCAAAAGTAAACCCTACTTAAGAGCCTGCTCAGAGGCTGTCAGTGCTTCTATGACAAAGCGAAGCTGGTGGGGAAGGGGGGATCTGACCCACGTGCCCCGCTAACCTACGATATACCTTAGCGCCACCTCTGACACCGCCCGGTTTGTTCCGCGGCCGGTTTTAGCTGGCTGTGGCTTTTTGCCGCATCATGCGACGCACCCCATGCCACTGCCATGAGGCTTGGCGGATCTCTCCCATATGACCCACGCAAGGCCATAGACAGGTCTCCCATGAGTATGGTAACCCTAACCCCCAGTCCCACCCCTAACTGGAGATGAGAAACCCTGGGGAAAAAATGGAAAAAGTTGGGTGGGGCGAAAAACATTTTTTCCTGTTTGTTTCCAAAGCAGTTCCCATGCCCAGAATGGCTGTGCTGGGCAGTGGCAGGAAGGGAGGTGGGAAGGGGACCCAGGTAGGGGCGTCCTCTAGCTGGAACAGGGGGGCTTTGCCCTGGGGAACCGGGGAGGCCACCTTCCTGGCCTGGCCGGGTCCGCCTGAGAGGTGAGTGGGAAGGCGGCAGCCTGGGATCAAAGTGGCAGGTGGAGTGCCGGAGGCTCGGGGAAAGAGGGTGCTGAAACGAGCAGGCCGCTTGCCGTCAGCGCCCATGCCGACTGCCTCTTCCACGCCAGAGCCATAATGCCATTGTGTTTACCATAAGTGCCAGTAGATATCGGCCTTCCCTCTGGCGGGCCTGGGCAGCTGCGGGACAGAGACAGGCCCGTTTCAGCATCTTGCCACTTGCTTTGCAGCTTCGTCGCAGTTCTCTGCTGCTGTGGAGCTGAAGACCTTGCCACCCCACCAGCCAGATGCCCTTGCTTTCCCAAAGAATTACATGTCTTTGCTTACCTGACTTCCAGCCCTGTCCCATTTCTCCTTCACGCTCCTCTGCTGTCATGTGCAGGGAAACAAAGGAAGCTTGGGGGTGGGGGGGGGAAGGTCAATCAATTCCAACTTCGGGAGATCTTTTTTTTTTTTTTTTGCAAGAACTGATTGATTGACCATTTTTCCCCCCACAAACTTTTTTTCCCTATAATATATCCTATCTAATCATTAAATCATAAGTTCATATTTTTATACAAAAAAGTCCATAGGAGGTTTCTAGTCACCAATAAACTAGAGAGTATCTTTTATCTAGTCAAGAAAGTTAATTTATTCATCTCTGTGAATTTCACCAACCGTTCTTCCATAGTGAGTAGTGTCAAAATCTTTCCATCTCTGTGGATATAATAATCTCATCACAGTAATCATATATTATTGTGGCCCTTATTCTAACTTCTGGTAAGTTTAACTGTGAATGTATCTTCAATGCAACTTGATGGGCTGAATATTGTCTCACCCAAAATGCTTCTCCAGGCTTAGTTCATATTTTATGCTAAGCCTTAATTAGCTTTGCTTTGGCTTTGAGTGATGCATACAGTTGTATGCTGCAGTTACCACTATAGTTAGTTCAGTATTCTTATTTAATGCACTGTGATTTAATCCTGACTTAATGTATTATGAACTTAGTGGTTCAAAAGATGTAGATGTTGCAGATACAAAGGAAGGAGAGGAAATAGCATTTCATTACTCCTAAATAAAACTAGTCAGAGAATCAAGCAAGACTTTTAAGGAGAGATGGCATCCCATAATATATATTTTTTCATAGAGAAAAGGGAGAGAATTTTTTTTAATAGAGAAAAGAGAGACATTAATAGAACAGGAAAAAAAATCACTTCTAAATGCATTGTGCTTGTTGTTCTTGACCTCTTGGAGTTTTGCAGGTATGTTTCTTAAGGTTAACTAATTATGCCAGCTAGCCTTTCAATCATTTAGCAAATGGAGATGAATGAAAGGTTCATTCATCTCCATTTGCTAATTGAAATGAACGTTAATGAGAGATGTTCAAATAAGCATGCAGGAGATGGTGTCAAAGAATTTCATTTGAAAGCTAGGTTTCCTCTTTGCAGTTCTTGCCGAGCTACTAATTGCTCAGCTATGCAACCTGAATTGTTAATTAATGCTTCCATCTTTCAATTCTTGGGTAACATCAGGCTGAGAAACATTAGCATAGTCTCCAGTGATGTGAAAATGAAGCGCTATGATTTAACCATAGTATAGCCAGGCAAACTGACTGAATAAGCAATGAGCCTGATGGTTAAAATGCTATTTTGACCATGAAATAGCAATTATTTGAAGTGTTTCATTATTTCACTCCTGTTTCTAGTAAGGTGCTAAGATGTCATTTCCATCCTTGTAGCTGCCTGGCTGAAATCTCTGGAATTCCAGCCAACCAGTTGTATCTTTCAGGAAGCAGAAACATCTAGCATTTCCATTTTAGACCGGGGCATCCTGAGATTGTTTGAAAACTTGTCTGAGCTTCTCCATTGGGAAGATCAGTGGGACAGAGGGTGGTGTTTTCTTGTTATCATTACAGGCTAAGCTTTGTGGGAGAATAAGGAACATTTGCGTAAAAGCTGGTACTGCAAACTGAAGGTGGGGAAAATAAGAAGGATGAAACTGCTGTATCTTTGAAGAACAGCAGAAAACATTGTTCTTTTGAAATAAACTTAAAAATGTTAAATGTTGGTGTTCCCAGATCCAGCTTGGATGACTACTGTCCGGCAGAGCAAGTTGAGTTCATACAAGAGAAGGTCTTGAATGTACTTCATTTGGTATATGGCACCCTGGATATTCATTTGGAATACTTGGAAAATGTATGTCCCACCGAAACAGAATTTGCATCTACGGCATGAACAACATGACCATACTTTATGGGTGTAAAAAAAAGAGAGAGAGACTGATACTACAAAAAGTATTGTGCTTTGCTTTCTGTGGAGTGGTAATTCTTAAAGAAGTGTTTTATGAAGCTGGATTGGGTTTGTAGCACTTATTGATGATACTTGCGATCCCAACCCATTTCTCTTTTTTTTAAAATTGAATTGTTTTTCTGCTATTGCTGTGTAGATTACTTCTCCATATTTCTTTGCTTAAGAATGTGATGCAGAATTTTGGATATGGAAAAGCTAGCAGAGAAAATTAATTTCCCTTCTGTTTGTATCTAGTTGCCATAAGTCAAAAAACCCCACAAGTCTGAACTGTATGTTTTAGGAATACAAACATACATACATACATACATACATACACACACACACACACACACACACATACATATATGTCTTTTAAAATACTATATATGTGTGTGTGTGTGTGTGTGTGTGTGATTTCAAGTTGAAAGTATCTATCTTAAGGGTGAAGCACACCTGCCCAAATGCGAAGCAAGATTTTCTCAAGTATTTTGAAAGTGTTTTGTCTCAAAGCAAGATATTTTGCACTTGAAATACAATGGTTCCAAGCTTTTGGAATGCCCGACACTGGAAATGGTTCTTTTGCACTCGAAATTGGCATTACAAATTTGAAATTGAGAATTTCAGGTTCAGAACCTCTAATGCATTTTCAAATACTGTATGTACTTTTTATTATTTCTGGAGTATGCTACTTTTGGTGGCAGTGAGGGTCGTAGTCTTATCATCCATTGCCTTACAAATCTTAGGTTAATGATTCTCAAATTGTATTAAAGAGAGAGAACCCAATTGTCAAGCTTAGTAATAATAATTTATTAAATTTATATGCTGCCCAACTCCCATTACAATCATGTGTGACCTCTGAATGAAATGGTACAGAATTTAGAGCATGCCACAATTTAATTGTGCATGTGGTAAGCCAGGAGCCTTATCTACCTCCTTAGAAACAGGTAGGAGGGACTCAGAGAATAGTGGGTGTAGGTAAGGCCAGAAGACTAAACATCGTACTCAACCGGAACTTTCAGTACAAGTGAAACAAAGGCAGAAGATACATCCTGTTGTTTAGATTTAATTCCCTCTTGCTTTTCTTCTTTTGTGCTTTCAACATCTGCTCTATAAGATATCTCAGTCTTCTAGGACAAGTGTGAGGAGATCGGGGTCAGGAGATATCTTTTTTGGGGAAATTAAAAAGCATTGGATCTAATTAGACATGTAGTTGAAAGCATTCCTAACCTTGACTTGAGATCACGAAGGCCCATGGTTTAGTCCCCAGAAGTGTTCTGCTAATGTCTATAGTGATTAGTGTTCAATCAGCATCAGCGTACCTTATAATTTACCATTTAAGTGAAATATTGTTACTAGAGAAAAATCTAGCCAGGCTGTCACCTTCTGCTAAAATTACTATTCTGTACACTTTAAAAAAATGAAATCTGGTAGATATTATTTAGCTCACTTGTACTAAAAAGCTCTAACCATTGTTTAAAGTTTCAGGCAGTGATAATTTTCTTAGCTGTCTGTTAAGGATTCTGGTATGTTTGAACCCCTCTGCAAATAGAGCATATTCTCTTTCATGGACTTCATTTACAGACACTGGAGGGGAATGCCCTCTGATTTGCAAAAAAAAAAAAAAAAGAAGCCCAATGGAATTATAAGCCCTATTTTTTGAAGTTTAGCTGCTTGTTATGGAGTACTCTGCTGAAGTGTGCCTCCTTTTCCCTTCAGGATCAGTTCATATTTTGATGTTCAGAGCAGATCTATCTGAGGTTCTCTCCTATACTAAAAGTGGGGAGCTGATGTTCCTTGGTCTGATTCAAAACTACCACTGAGAGTTTAGCACCGGCTGTTGACAGAAATGATCTCTCTTATCCTACGATTGCTTGCTGGTAGGGAACAAATCATGCCCTTTGTCTACTACAGTGGTTCTCAACCTGTGGGTCGGGACCCCCTTTGGGGTCGAACGGCCATTTCACGGGGGTCGCCAAGCAATGCAGTCCGCCATTTTTTCCCCTTTTCCTTAGCTGTGCTACTCCCTTTTATTCTATTGGCTTTTGAAAGCCAATAGAATAGACTCTCTTGAATAGAGTCTAATTCTATTGGCTTTCAAAAGCCAATAGGAATTGTCCAGGCTGTCTCTGCCCTGCTGAGCCCGCCAAAAGTCCCATTCTGCAAACGGTGCTGCACCAGTTGAGTAGTCCTCGACTTACGGCCGGTTGAGTAGTCCTCGACTTATGACCGGTTGGGGGTCGCGGCATTAAAAAGGTTGAGAACCACTGGTCTACTACAACTTTGATCCTATTAGATATGCGGCCCTCCCAGGTAAACCAGACACGAAACAGGATTAGATGAACTAATTCTACTTTATTGTAACAGTACATTAACAGAATCTTGCAAGTCTGAAGGCATAATCTTCCCTCCGGATGTTTTTAACGGCTTGATCTGTGGATCCTTCCTAAGTTTCTTTCTCTGACTGTTAAGCCACTGGGAGCACTTGCCTCTCTTGTCTGATCGTTTCCTAAGCAGCATCTCTTCTCCTGTTTCCCCAAAATCATTCATACATTCCATTATACCAGTGTTTCTCAACCTTGACAATTTTAAGGCATGTGGACTTCAACTCCCAGAATTCCACAGCCAGCAATGCTGGCTGTGGAATTCTGGGAGTTGAAGTCCACATGCCTTAAAATTGTCAAGGTTGAGAAACACTGCATTATACCAACCACGAGCAGATTGTGGCCTTTTGCTGATAAAAGGTCTCCCAGATTGGCCCGGGCTAGAGGCTGCCTCCTCTATGAGCTTAAACAGTAGCAGGCTTGAGACTAACACCTATAGAAGAATTAATGCAAACCCAGTCTAATTTTGGGGATTAGTTACAGTAACAGCAATTCTTTTATCTGTTCGGTAGGTGATGTGGTTTACACAAAATTAATTGATTTCCTCATTCCTTAAGAAATAATAAGCTTCTTTGTGCATGAGGGATTCTTTAACAAATCCTTTGCAATTTAAAATTGATATGTTAGAGAGAGTTATAATAAAAATGAGAAAGGTTTATAATATTTTCACATATTGCGCAAACACCATCTATTTTCTATTAATATCGATCAAATGTACACCATTTTTGTCCCACCATGGCAAGTGCAATTCATCAGCCGTATATTGCAGCCTTCTCAGTAAAACTATTAGCTTTCTTGCCTTCTGGGAAGGTGTAAAACAGGATTTGTTTGGGACCTGACTGGCAGTATATGTTGATTAACTCAGAAGTCACAGAGACTGAAATTAGATGACAGAAACCTGGCAGGGGAAGTTGGAAAAAAAAAGTGAGTGTGACTAGTGAGAAACGATAATTTGAAAATGGCCACCATCCTGTGCCAATTTTCTAACTTTCAACTGTGAATCTAGTATAACAATATAAATCTCCTTTGATTTTTTTTTTGTAACACTTTGAAAGCAACTCATATTGAGAAATAACAAAGTGAAACAGCTACACAGCACTTTATGTATTTATTTTGTAAAATCAGATTTACCGAGCTGCCTAACTCAATCGACTCTGAGTTAAATATGAGTTAAAAATGATCAGTCAAAAGTCCAGAATAAGATGGCCTGATAGAAAACAGAAAACAACAAGGTCCGATAGTATATGTTTATCCAAGGAAAACCACACTTCCCAGATCTTGGAGAAATAATCCAGTCTTCAAGACTCTTTTAATGATCAGCAGAGTCAGAGCAATGCAAACCTTGCAGGAGAGATTATTCCAGATGTCACAACAGAGAAGTCAGGTCCTTTCTCCACCCATTAGAGGACATTGTTTCAAGCATGGGATCTGGAGGTTGGCTAGCCGGCTGGGCTCAGAACAAAGCTGTGGAGTATCCCATTGCTTCTCTCTTTTTATGTAGGCATAAACCCATTAAGGACCCCATGATGAGTATTGCAGGTCAGCCAATTGTAAATCTCTTTTGAATTGGAACCATTTGATATTCACTGTTCCATTTTATCAAGAGGGAGACTATGATCAACTTAATCAAATGCCTTACTGAAGGCAAAGTACATTCATCCACAGCATTCTCTTGGCTTACTAATGTTTTTTTGTACGTATGTGTGCCTTCGAGTCAATATTAACTTCTGGTGAATGCCTGGACAAGTCTCTGCAACGTTCCTTTTCAGAAGCAGTTTGCCATTGTCTCCTTCCTAGAGCTGAGAGAGAATGACTGGTCCAAGGCCACGCAGCTGGTTTTATGCCTAAGGTAGGACTAGAACCCAGAGGCTTCCAGTCTTTAGCCTGATGCCTTAATCTCTACCTGGCTAATCATTACATTCATTTATAAATGTATTTATTTACAAATCTAGCCACCTTACTTAATTAATTACATGTTGAGGCCACCTGACTCCTTAAACTTTCCAGGTAGCTTACAATTAAAAGGAAAAACAGTCCAAAGCACGTAGAGGGAAAAAAACCTTAAACAAACTCACAACTAATTAGAAAATAATATGCTACCAATTAAAAAAGAAAAACCCGGGGACTCTGCAACCATTCTATCCCCAGGAGAACAAGCAAGTTTTTAATGATTTTCTGAATGTTACTAGGGTGGTAGGGGAACACATTTCTGAGAGAAAGTCATTTCAGAAAGCAGGTGCCACAACAGAGAATGCACACTTCCTGATCCTGGAAGGGGTCATGGTTTAATTGATAGGACCTACACCAGACCCCCCCCCCACCTGACAGGAAGAAATAACTGGAGCCAAGTGGTCCCTTAGATAATCAAGCTCTAGGCCATGAAAGGGTTTGTAGATGATAACCAGAACCTTGAATGGCATTCAGAAGTCAACTAGGTAATTAGCACAGTGAGGACGTGGGGGCTCATCATTTTGCCAAAAGAAAATACCAAGATTTGTCTGGCATAATCTGATTTGAATAAATCCATGCTGGCTTCTAGTAATCTCCATAGTGGCTCAGTAGTTAGGATGCAGTATTGCAGACTAACTCTGCCAAATGCCAGCAGTTCGATCCTGGCCGGTCATCCTTCCATCCTTCCGAGGTCGGCAAGATTAGGACCCACATTGTTGGGGGAAATATGCTGACTGTAAATTGCTTAGAGAGGGCTGTAAAACACTGTGAAGCAGTATATAAGTCTAAGTGCTACTGCTATCTCATTCTTTTCTAAATGCTTGCAAACTCACTGCTTCATTGCCTTTCTAGGTACAGATATCAAGCTGATTGGCTGTAATTTATTTTTTTAAAAAAAGGGAAATATTCTAAATTGTGTGGCCAATACATTTAAATAATTAATAAATACTAATAACAAGTTCTCTTCCAACCTTCTAGCACTTTCCTTATAATGAAATCCAACTGGTCCCAAAGACTTGAATTCAAACGATGGATTCTGTTCAATAGGCATTTTGTCACTATTCCTTACCTTAGAGAGATTCCTTAGAGAGAGTCATTTGACAAGAAATCTGCATTTAGTATAGATAGCAGCTGTTCATTGTCACAATAAGGAATGAAAAACATAGGCACGTACCTGCAACATCCTAAAAGCTTTTTGTAAATGCAATTAAATGGATTACCCTGATTTTTATTTTTGAGGAGAGAATTTAAGAAGATTATTATAGGTCATAATCTAAGAGAAAGGAGATTAGGGATTTGCTTTTGTTTGAAAACCAAACCAACCTCAAGGCTGATGCTGGTCTGCAGTATTAAAAGGAGGTGAAATTGAAAGTTACAACTGGTCAATTTAATCAGATCATAACTGTGTCTTAGTATCAACCGGGAGCGATGTGGCAGAGTAGTGGGCAGCTTACGGTGGTGAGTCATACCGCTGATTCAATTTCTGCTTAATACCTATGCAATACTCGATT